AATCACGTAGTGAGCGTAAAGTGCGCGGCCCTCTTAAGTACGCTCTGTCGTTTTGTGGGGCGCGCAGACCCCGCTGCGCTCAGCTGTGTGAGGGCGCTGTGTGCACCCCTCCGCTTCCCGCGTGCTGTGCTGTGTTGCGCAGGGAGGTGATTCTGCAGAACACACACGTTGTGTGGCCGCAGGACACCCACATGTGAGATTCCGGGGCAGCAGTAAGCACGACTCAGAAGCACTTAGGACTCAACACCGTCTGCCCTCCAAGGCTGACTTTACCTCCCCGCGAGGGCTGTGTCTCTGAGGCGCTGGCTCCGCCTCAGTCTGCGGGCCCAGAAAGGCTTTCACCGCAGCGTTGGGGCTTCAGTGGCCCAGCCCTCCCCCTACTCCCATCGCTCTGCTTCTCATCAAGTTTTATTTTTACTTGAAATTACCTTACGTGAATGGCAGCCTGGTGCGTGTTAAATCCCATGCCTTTTCCTTGTTCCCACGAGGATCCATGCTTCAGGAAGGCAGACCCTTACCTGACTCTTGGCAGCTCTGTTACCACCACACACTACAATATTTGCTACATTTTGGTAAATAAATATGTGCATTTTTCAAACCACAGGTTCTTCTTCATATGTTTAACACTGGAAGTTTATAGTCCACATTTCCCTGCATGTGTGTCTGCGCAATTATTTTGGAATCTCCCCTCCATGCCAGCTTCAGCCAAACATGAATTTTTAAAAATCCTATTAACTCCTCAGGGATGGGCAATCCAATTATGTGATGATGCAGAATCCAGACACAACTCCTCTGGTTTTTATTCCACTTTCTAGCCAATAGTTTTCCTTCTCTGCAGTTATTTCACTTCAGCGAGTGCCCACGAATGGTCCCTGAGCACAGCAGCGTCAGTGCTGATGCAGGAGTGGGGCAGGAAGGTGCTGACTGTTGGCACACAGCCATTGGACATGTCATCAGAGGCGTGAGCCAGGCTGGGCTCGACCCTGGGCCACCTCAGAGATCACTGTTCAGTAGACGGGCTGGCTCACAGTGTTAACTTGAACGCCACGGGCGAGTCCTGGCAGACATTTGTCTAGTGCCCCCTAATGGCAATGCCCAGCACTAGATGTTAGATGGAAGAAAGTGAGGTGAAAGGGGACCCCTACCATCCCATCCCTTAGCATAGAGCCTCTCAAGGTGCGCCGGGCCGCCCACCAGCAGGATGATGCTCAGCTCTGCACATGTGCTGCTCGGTGTGTGAAACAGCTGCAGAGACAGGAGCACCTCCCAAGGGCTGAGAGCCAGAGTACGGGGCTGGAAAGGGTCTCTCTTCCTCCAAATTATATGCACAGAGACACTAAAGCTCGTGTATGTTAAAGGGATCCGTCAAGGCCGCACAGCTGGCATAGCCAGAAGAACTCGCCTTCCTGGTCCCTGGTCCAAGCTGCTGCTTTCTGACCTGTCTTCTGAGACTCGAGGACTCCCCAGGTTTTAATTCATACCGTGCAGATTTGGCCCTTCGGTAGCTACAGTGTAATGAAGAATAATCAATGGGCTTGTTTCTTATTAATAACTTAGAATTTAGAGCTAATAGCAAGGGGCATGTTAAACACTCAAAAATAATAGCTTTGGGTTTTCAGTGACGTGGTGTAATTTAATAAAGTGACAGGTGCTATATGGTCAACTGAAATACAGGTAGAATTCAGGCTACAGAATATATTCTACTTTGTTAGTTAAAAACAAAAGGCCCCGGGCCAGGGATGTTACCCAGATTCTCACACAATTAGCCTTTATGAAAACCTAAAAATGCATTACTTTTAAACTATAGTGAACACAAGGTTTTCGGATAAAATAAAAACCCCCTGAGGCAAAGACTTTAGAGACATTATCTGTTTAATAAATATGATTGTAAAAGCAATAAACAAGAGCAATTATACATTACACTACATAGTATTTAACAAAAAATACATCAAAAAAGTCATTTTAAAATTAGAATTAGTTCCAATACTATAAGAAAATTTTCATTGTTTTTAAATTGGCTTCCTATAAAAATAAGTTGGCAAATGAGGGGTTTCAATGCTCAGTTGGAATCCTGGAAAACAGAACAGCTGCCAAGCACCCCACTGCTCTCAAAGCTGCTGTTTGGAACTTCTGAGAAAAAGTAAAGCAAACCTCTGCGTTTTGGACAGTGAATCCAATTAGGAATAAGGCAAAGAAGAAGCCATTGGCTGGGCAGCTCAGGATACGGCACACACGGTTTGCCTTTCGGTGTTTTAGAAAATGTTGCAGTGTCAATGTTTCAGCTTGCCCTGAATATACCTTTGCATACCCCCTCGCCTTACTCCTCTGGCCCTAGGACCCCAGCCCTCCCCGGGGTCTGCACCTGCTGCACGCGAGCGAGGAGGGAGGCACTTGAGTCACTCCCGCCTGCAGGCGCTCATTGCTATCTTTTGAGGAGTGAGCTGGAGTGGCATAGTGTGCTGGTTCTCGGGTTCAGCACAGGTCCCAAGCACCCGGAGCATTCAGTGAAGTGCACTGCGGGGTCCGCTATTACCTAGTCACAGTGCCTCAGCCAGCCTGGTTGCAGACCCAGTATGTGCAGGTGACACTAACACTGCAGGCTGGAACCACACTCGGAGAACCCAATTAAGGATACAGGAGCTATGGGCTTCTTTCGGGACAGTAAGTACCTTGCCTCGCCTGTCACCTACAGGGTGAGGCACTCTGAGGAGAGGCCCACTGGGATGCTGGCGATGCTGAGCCTGTAGCTGCCCCCTGGGGCCACTTTCCACAATGCCAGACCTCTGCCATCTACCTCTCCTGCACACCAGGACATGCAGCGCTTCTACCATGCGCGTTTGCTCTCGTTCCCTTCATTAATAAGCCATTTTCGTGGTGCTACTCTTGGCAAGGCACTGTGCTGTGTTTAGAATGTTGTTCCTTTTGTAATTTTCTAATTAAATGAACTGAACTGCAACTCGGAGGACTCCCTGTGCTCTTCTGTAAGCCTCTCTTGATTTCTAAACATGTTGGTTTCCAGATCAAATGTGGGAGGTGCCAATTAAAGATAATCAATGAGGATGTTCTCTATGCAATGGGAAGCCGGGACGAGGGTGTTCTGCAAAGTGGTACTGCTGCCCTGTCGGAGGTGGGGCATCCTTAACCATAAGCATTCTGCTTGACTGAGTGCTGACAGCAGCTTTTCTACACTTCTCCTGCCTGAGCTAGAGAGGGTTGGGCTCCTGGGATCGTTTGGATATCCGTGTCATCCCTAGATCCTCTTTCCCACCCCGCTGTTGGCTTGGAAGCACAGCCAAGCAGGTGGGCTACTTTGACTGGAATAACAGATCTGTGGTTTTCTGCTCTTAGAGTTGGGCTTTACCCAGGCCTAGCACTGAAGGGGCTTCAGTGGCAGACAGGCTTTCTTTTCCTTCTTTCTCTGGGCCTTTTTCATGATTGCCCTTAGAAAACTGAGGCTGCTTCATACTTTGAGGATATGAGGATTGTGAGAATTTCTTTCACTTTATTGAAGTCGGCTAATTTCTCCACTTCATACTGAGTTGCTTTTCTTTTGCCAGCACCATGATACTCTGAGATCAGACAGCACATGTGAAATCACTGGAATCACTCCACATAATTAACATCTCATCCTAATGTAAGATAAGACCTATTTTCTCAGATTTTGGAACCCTCAGACATTAACTCCTGTTGAACTGCTTCTGTTAAAATCAGTTTTATTTCACCAATATTTTTATTCTACTATAAGAGAGGAATATTGGGCAACAAAACTATCACAGGAAGAAATCCTCCTGCAATACTGCTATACATTCAAAACCTATCTCACAAGTCATCCACAAGCTGACCACAACATTTTTGCTAATGTGTGAAAACTCTGCGTCTGGTCTCTTTGCTTTCTTTGCCAAAGTACACAGCCCAACTGGGATTGCTCTGCATGTATCAGCTCTCTTACACACATTGCTTGTTTCCAGGTGGGAAAAGGTAGGGACATTTGGGAAAGGAAGGGTCTGGAGAAGAGACAGAGAGTACATGGAACTGACGCCTGCGGGGCAGGGTGCAGTTTGGTTGGTGTGCAGGGAGTCTGGCATGCTTGGCTGGGTACAGAACTGACAGAGGTCAAGACTTGAGAGTGGTGGAGTCGGCACCGGCGGAAGCAAGGCCAGTGCTTAGCAGATGCCTGCATTGATGTTCAAAATCTAGCAAGATGTTTGGGAAGAAAAAGTGAGAACACTTGAAGGATGACTTGGGGGCTGGCAGGGAAGGGTTCAAAAACATTTACAGAGCATGGCGACACATGAATGGCAAGCCAGTGGAAAGGGACAGCAATGGCTAGCTACCAGAAAGCGCCATTCTCTACATCGTTCAGGATAGAAATAGGAAAGTTGCAAGGAGGAAAGCTGAAAGGGAAATAACGGTGCGTTCGTGACGCACTGTTTCCCAGTTCCTTCCCTCACTGCGGCACCTGTGTACGTGGATCTTCAACTTGCATCTTTGTCCCTGTGGCCACAGGGAATGGAGAGAGAGGGCAGCCTGTGGCCACTGCCGACTGGCAGGGCTACAAAGCTAACTCAGAGGAGAAAGTGACAATGAGGATGACGGAACCGAGAAACAGCTCAGGGTTTCAAACTCCTGTGCATGTCTAATGAAAAGCCCCCAGGTAGCTAATCCACCCATTGGCCCGCAGTGCTAAAAGAGCTGTTAAATCTAGAGCCAAGAATATTTCCAAAAATGCATGCAGATTTCCTTGGCCTATATATGTTATGAATTTTCTACAAACACGACCGATCAGAAAAAAGAGAAGAAAGGGAGAGGGGAGTGTTTTCCATTAAAATAGAGCACCTGTACACTGCCCCTCCAAACGTGTTCTGGTTAGTGTCCACATGCTCAGGCTTAAAGCTAAAAACCCTTGTTGTCTGTGTCTGAAGGATTAAAAAGTCCCGATGCAGTGAGTGTTTGTTTGTTTAGATTTTGGTTGTTGTTTTTTTTTTAATTTTATTGATTGTTTTGCTTTACTGCCGTCCTCCATTCAAACATTTACATAGGTAGGGATTTCTTTTGTGCTTTGATTCTCAGCAACTATGGAAATACTTCCTGGCAAAATAGGAAACAGAACAACAAAGGAAAGAAAAAGAAAAAAAAAACAAAACATAAAGTTAGTAGTCATGAAGGATGATGCACTTGACAACTGCGAAATTCTTTCCTGATCGGCAGGTCGCCTGCAGCCTTTGGGGCTTTCCTTAGATTGCAAGCTGTGCCCCAGCAGATTCTCGCTTTGGCGTTGAAGCTGGAGTGGTGTGTCTCGCTCTTTGCAGCCGGAGAGATGAGTCACCAGGTTGAGCAGAAGGGGAGGGGGGGGAGGGTAAAGCTACTCTCCTAAGAGAAAACGTGTGACACTTACTCATTTAATGACACTGGAAATGGAAAAGTGTCAGAGACGACAGTGTACTTCGGCAGTGTTCCTGGTGAAGGAGGAATTGCTACTGTAACAAATAAACAGCGGCTATGCTGCACGCCCAGGGGAAAAGGGACTGCACATCAAACGAGCCCCCAAATGCAGCATCTTGGGCACTTCAGAAGCAAACGGACAGGGCGAGCGCTTCGCTGGACGTGAAGACAAAAGAAGCCTTTTTCCTTTTTAACCCAAATCTATTACACATATGTCACCCTGTGTCCCCCAATAAAAGAAAATACACTGTGGAAACCGGACAGCGGCTGTGGCTGTAGCTGCGGCTCTCTAGGAGGCAGGCCAGTTACTGCATCTGTTTCTCCTTTCCTCAGCTGCAGACCTTTCCTGTCTCCATTTCTCAATGCATTTAGTTAAGGGCCTACAGGACCTACGGGGTCTCACTACACAGATGGGACTCACAATGACCCTCCTGCTTTCAGCCTCCCAAGAGCTGGGATTACAGATGCGCACTGCCATGCCCAGTCTCTCCCTTCTCCATTTGAAGACACAGTTGTGTTCCCCTGACAGACTCATTTTGTCCCCATCTGACAGATTAAAAAATCTTAGGTAAGGCCACTCTAGGCAGCTTGGCACTTTGACTTTAGAGGGAGGTGCGGATAGGCTAGAACCATTTAATCCAGCACTGTCAGCAACGCAGGATCTAGATATAAATATTGACACCTTCAACTCTTGCGGCCACCACGCAGGAGAAACCCAGGAGAGACATGGATCAGGCAGGGCCGCTCCAGGAATGTGTCTACATATTGCAGACAATTTTCTCTGCAATAAATAAGACTGAGGAACCCTGCTTCAGAGTTTAGACCTCGTTGTGGAACTCCCTGGTTTATTCCATTGGGAAGATGAGTTCTAGGAAATGGTGTGAAGCCTATTTCAGGACTTCAGATAAGGGCAAGCCAAAAAAAAAAAAAAAAAAAGGCATCTGTCTGTCTGTCCATCATTTGATCATAGCTGACCTGGGATCAGCCTTTCTCGGGAGCCCTAACCCTGCAGCCTCTGCAAACTTTGGGCTTCTTGTCCTCAAGTTCTCAGGTTCCCTGTCACCTGGGGGACAGTTTATAGACAACGGCCAGATTAAAATTAAAGATGCCCAGCTGGGCTTGTTGGCCTCTTTCTTCACATCCCTCCCCTGCCCGTGTTCTGGAGCACTTCACCCTCCTCAGGACTTCCACACGCTTCCACTACTCTGCACGGCCCCGCTGCCAGCCCACCAGCCCAGCCCCCGAGAGGACTCCTTCTTAGACGTGGTTAGAGCAAGTTCTAAGATACTTGTTTATCAACATTTGAAGCCAGTGTTTTAGGGAAGGTTTTTGCAAAAAGAGGAGTAAGTTAATGAAAGGCGAAAAACTAGATAGGAGCAAAAGGAGCCATCTTAGCTGCTTCTCCCGAGGTGTTAGAGCAGGAAAAACAGCTATGTCAAGCCAGAAAGGGGTTAGAGGGGAGTCGGCCACTGACGAGGCAGGCTGGACGCAGAGGCTACTGGGAATCATTTACCTACGCGCTGCGACTCCGCCTTCTCATCGCTAGACTGGCCGGGCCGCCTGCGCTCGGGGCACGGGGCACTGGCCCTGCCGTCAGTGTGGCTGCCCGGACCGAGCGCCTCCCGCTCTTTCTCATTGTGCATCTGGGCATAAACATTAATTCCCGGGATCTTCCTACAACATTAACAGAAAGCATCACTGCTCTGCGTGGGAAAAGCTGGTGTGTGCTTCAGCACCTGTCAGGAAAGGCAAGGGAGACGTGGGGCAACATGGACAGAGGGACACGCACCTTTTAAACTTGTAGATGACGAACACAGCCAGTCCCACAAACACCACGGACAGCAGCATCAGCATAGCAGATCCACTGTGGGTCGGTGTGAGGTCCACCAGCGGGGCTGCAGGAGGAGAAGGGCTGGGTCAGCTGCAGGGACCAGGCAGGTGGGGAGGGCTGCAGGTCACCAGGTAGGATGCACACAGCACGGCTCACCGGCTGAGTGTGAGTCCCCCCCCACCCCCGGGAATGCTGCTGTGGGCATCTGAGCACCACAATGGCATGAGAACAAGCCCTGAGAGTGGGCTCAGGGTTCCAGCTCCCAGGCCTGCTGGACCGCGTGCTGCCTCTGTGCCTAGCACTGTCACCCCACCTAGCCGTGCCTTGCAGGCTTGGAGGGGAATAAGAGTGCACACTTCCCTGGATGGTACAGGCATTATGTGAGCTAAGGATGACATGAGCTAAGGATTACTTGAGCTAATGTATCGGACTTCTACGCTCCCTGTGGGTAGCAGCTTTCTTTCTACTGCCAACGGATGTGGCTAGAAGTGGTATTCACACCGATATTCCTTGAACCAGGCTGGGCCTACATCCTGGTAAATGTGTTCAAAGTTGAAAGTGTTGTGCAATAAAAATGCCCTTCCTGTGGTTAAGCTCCCAAACATCACAGAGCAGAGGAGACTCCTGCAAGTGTGTCCCAAACACTGACACTAGCCTTAGCGGGGAAAAATCATCTGTCACCGGTCTATTTTGTAGTAGTACTGAGCACCTCACGTCCTAATTCCCAGTACAAGACCCTGCAGGTGAAAAGCAGAAGGGTTGCACATGCGAGGCCCTGCGGAGCTGCAGCCTCCCCCCTCCAGCCAAGGCCCTCCGCACTTAGCATCATAGGAGACGAGTAATTGTTAAACTCTCCTGGGGTCCTTCTCCCACTGAGCCACCAAGTATAATATTTCTAAGAGTTACCCCACCCCACAGCCACCCCACACACGGGGAGACCAAGACCTGGGAAGTGCTGAAGAGTACTCGCTGTTTGCACTCCAAACTCTTGGCTGAGTAAGAGCTGCACACAGCACTCACTCAGCTGTGTGAGCGCGGGGAGCTGCACAAGCCTCCCCACAAATCCCCACGCCCTCTCGGCTCCCAACACAGAGCTCTACTGTTTCTGTGTGCTGACTGTTCTCAGACAAACCAGAGGGCTCCGCACGCAGGCATCTCCCTGCACCTCCCTTCATAGTACACGTGGGGAAGACATCTCTTTCCATCCCCAAATCTTCTGCTATTTCAGGGGGAAGAAATCTGCTGTGCACGTGATAATTTGCAATTAATTTCTACCTCTCAAAATCTGACATTTTGCAAACACGGCATCACTCAAACCTAAGAGAAATAATCTAATATATGCTGGAAAGCCGAGGTGCTGGCCTTGACCTCTGCCAATGTAAGCGAAGTCTGATACCCAAGTCTGCAGGTGACCTTTAAGACCCATTTTCTGTGGCTTGTCTCCATGAGCACAGAGAGGGCAGCATTCTGCTCGTTCAGATAAAAAGCTTCCAGAACAAGTGACTGTAATTTTGATGGCCTCAGACCAGACCTGGAGCTGCCTCGGCCATGTCTGCTACAGGTGGAATCAAACCCCAGGCACTCAGTGGCCACTACCCAAAGTGGATTTCAGATGAGCACAAAATCTCAGTGTGAAACTGGAGGCGCAGCCTTCTGTCCCAGAAAATAGGCATTGTCTGTTTCCAAGTCAGCTTCTGGGAAGTGCTGGGAGTCAGGGAGCCCCTGTTATTTCTCTCCCCTGTGAGTCCAGCAGCACCAGCCTGTCACCTGGGAGCACTGCCTGTGAGGAGGAGGGTGGGCCCTGTGCAGGCGGGATGTTCACGCAAATGTGCGCTTCCTCCGCAAGAAGCAAAGTGCTCAGCAGCATCAACAGAGTCAGAACTGCTTCAGTGCTCATTGCGACAGGAAAGATAGCAACGAGGGAAGAGAACACCTTCCACTTCCCTACACATTACCTCAATCGATGCTGCCCCTCACAGAAGGTAAGGACGATGCTCCCAGCTATAAGATAAAAGCAAGGGGTTGCCCATTGCTTAGTATCATTCCAAAGGCCTTGGAACTAGTGGCCTGGAACACTAATACACTTGAATGCGTGCACACACACACACACACACACACACACACACACAGTCACATTCTTTGTAACTCAACCTGTGGGAGACAATTAGAAATTTTCAATATTAATCAGGAGACACAGGTTAAAATATTTTTAAAAGCAGATGGACTCTGAATTTAGTATATATATGCATACATATATATATATATATATACATACTTTATACATGCACACACATTTATACACATGCACAATATATTTATAGATGGAGGGAGGCGAGGGAAAGAGAGAACAGGGCAGTTAAATAGAGCCTTTTGTGCACATTGCTCACCCTCGCTGATGGCCAGACTTGCCTCCACTCTCTCCCTCCTTTCCTCTTTCTCCCTCTCTCCCTTCTCTTCCCTTCTTCTGCCACCTTTTCCATCACAAGGTTAATCTTCCAATCCTAACTCACTGGCACTGAAATCATCATTCTTAAAAAAGCTGTGTCAACACCACTGGATAATTAAGACACTCTGTTGGAAAAAAACATGCTTCTGCACGGTGTTAAAAGTGTGCGCCCTGTTATCTTGCCCTGCCCAGCTCGGCAGGTGCAGGACAACAGCAGGCAGGGGCTGAGGGGTGCACCCCTCTGCATTGCAAGCCCTAGATGCTGCAGCTTGCTCAGTATAAACGCGCCTATTACCGCTCCACAGGGCAGCAGCTGTGTGTCTTACTTTGGATAACACTTAGGTGCGTCTGTGCGTGTTGTGCTGAGGAATGGAACTGGGTGATAAATGTGCTTTGCCTTGTTGTGTGGAATTAGCATAAATTAATCCCTCTCCAATTACAGCCTCAACAAGGAGAACTAGTAGGGAAAAAGTGCTGAGCGATTTTTTGGCATTATGGATGTACAGAACAAGTGACGGCACAACAGTACTCCGACGAACTCACCATTCCTAAGCCCCAGGGCTGACAAAAATCATTTGCAAGCTCCAGTGAGGATCTAAGAAATGCTTTGAATTACTGCATTCTATGCAGGAGGGCCTGGGTCATTATAGTAAGGCAGGTGCTCACAGCAATAAGCACATCTTCTTAGGAAGAGTAACTGGGGTCCACATAATAAGTGCTAAATCATTGGCTGCCGTTATACACATATACTGTAGTTATGTGTCAGAGAACAAGCATGTAGGAGGATAAACCTCAGGGCTCATCCATGCATACGGTCCCTTCTGCAACCAGATCCTGCCTCTGCCATTTTGGAGCTACATGACTCCAGCTGAAGCTCAGCTTTCTCCTTGCAATACGGAGGTGAAAATCACTTTTAGGGCCAGTGAGTGGCCGGAGTGGAACAGGGCGGAATCCACAGAGCTCTGTCTGTGTCTAGCACACAGCACACACTGGCAGTGTGCATTGTTGTTCTTACAAGTGCATTCTGAGAGCGGATTTTGCGGGAAAAGACAGTCCTGAAGGATGGATGTAGAGCCCCGCGGTGAGGGGAGGCAGGAGGAAGGCTGCAGGAGCCCTCCCCAGCTGGCGAGCCATGGCGCCCTCTGCATAGCAAGGCTCACGGCCTGCAGGACGGAGCTCACCCTAGAGCCACCAAGCTCACACACGGGGCCACAGCCCCAGACCTGGCTTCTCTGCGCACCGCACGGAAGCCTCCTCTTGAGCTCTGCTCTGCCATTTGCTGCAGCCTGGTTCATGCCCAAGTGGAGCATCAGCTGGATGGCGACATTGCCAGGCAGTCTGTGCGGATGCCTCACTGCTGTGTGCAGTCACTCTCATTCCATCCGAGGGGCCTGCTTGGTGAACTTCCAGTGCACTCTGACCCTGAAGTTCGAAACGCTAACCATACTCCTCATGCAAAAGTTAATACTGTGAGGAACTTGCAAAAGCAAGTTTATTTTACCTTCCTTTTCTTTTTTATTTTCCTGCATCCAAAACAGAAGCAAGACAAGATTTAGTTACATGTCTTGAAAAAAAGTCGACATGATCTGAACTTGGCTTATTGCATCGTTTGTGGCAGAGTGGAGGGATGAGGGTGATAGAGCTACAGCACCAAGAAAAGCTTCTCTAGAGTGCAGGAAGGTCTGAGAGACACCCACTTGCACAGCAGCCTCATTTGGCCAGTGTGCCTCCCTTCTAGTGCAAAGCAAACTCCATTGGGGGAGTCCTAAAGACAGCTCTACTGAATTGGCAGAGAGCACTGGGTCTTCAGCCAGCCTGGATGGGAACAGGCCGGAAGACTTGGCTGAGGAATTAACAGCAAGGCCCAAGAATGCAACAGCTCTAGTGGCCTGGCCTTCTACGTAAGCCACCAAAATTCAGTGCAGTGTGAACAGCCATATTCTAGGAAAGTAACCCTTGAGTCCCAGGCTGCTACCCTGCAGCCAGGGCCCCTCTACTGCAGTGCTCCCATAAGGCCATGTCTCCTTAGCGTATCACATGATGTTTTCTTCACTTCTCTTGCTTACTCAGTCCACAGAAGGCATTGCCCTTCAGGGAGCCCAGAACTGCTGACGGTCCCCTGACACCCAGTTCATGAACTGCTGCTCATCAAATAAACTTTTCACAGTTTTCAGGTGCTTCTGTTTGTAATTCTGACAGCCCTTGAAACACTGCCGCTGGGCGTCAATGGAGGGTGAGACCTGAGGCCTCCATTTCATAGGAAGCGGAGGCCATTGGCCAAGTAATGACAGTCAGGAGGACATCCACCTCTACAATGTTTTGCTCAAAATGTGGTTGAAATACTACCTGAATCAGAATTAGCTGGAGCATTGTGGGAATACAGTTTCTTATGCTGCACATGAGGGGAATCCTTTAGTTTTGAATGCTGTGGGTATGGCCTGGCTGTGCCCCCAAATGGTTCTTGTGCTCACATTTAATCTTCACATCTTGTTTGAGAGGTACTAAGAGAGCAGAACCTTCACGTGACTGCGGTGTTTAGAGCTGGGGTTTTGCGGCAGTGATGGAAGTAGATAAGTTAGCAAAGGTGGACTCCCCGTGACTGAGCGAAACAGATTTAC